GCAAATCAAAGCTGCATTGCCAGAATGGGCCGAAGTCATCGTATACCTCGGTGATATCTACATCGTCTATGACCGCATGGACGTCGCGCATATCTACGACGCAGTGCGCACTACACTCCGGAACGCGTGCCGGATCGACGTCAATATTGGTAAGCTGGCAGCGTGGAGCAAGAATCGAGGCCCTTGTCCCCTGGGCCTCGCCGATAGGTCTCCTACTCCGTGGGCGCACGACAAACCTGACTCGGAATAGGGATTGCGAGTCCTAGGGGCTCCATTTGGTTCAAACGCATACGTAGATAATTTTGGGAATGCGCAAGCTACAGATAAGGCGAAGCTACTTAACAAACTACTTCAGCTCCCTACTCAATAAATGGCGTGGTTCCTATTATATTTCTGCAGCGTACCGCGGCTCAATCGCGCATCGCAGCGCAGACGCACGACACTAACGTATTGCGCATTTTCCGGGAGCTCTTTGGGATCCCAAGTCCGCAAGGTTGGGACATTCGCGCGCATGGCATCTCATACACTATGTAGGCAGCAAAAGCATAACTCCCACTCAAGTATGCCTTCGAAACTCTTCGCGCTTGGCTCCTACAATTTACTGGGCGAGTCGGGCGGACTCCCTACACAACCTCATCCGCCGCTTCCCTGAAATCGGATAAGACATGCTGGACCATTTCAATGCGATAACTGGACAAGGTATTGACAGTGAGCCTAACGGCCCAAATTGCTTGATCGAAACTGAAATGCCGGCAAGGTGTGGGATGACAGTGGATGGCCACGACGTGGATTTCGGGGCCAGGTGGCAGCGGGTGAGAGACCCCCGCACCGCCAGAACAACCGATGGCCCTTGGGGAGTGGACGCACGGGTGGCAGTTCCACGCTTCCGACCGTTTGGAACAACAAGCCCATACGGCACTATTGCAAGAATTGGGCGGGGAACCTACCGCACGAAGAAATGCCACCACTGCGGGAAAAGTAAGGGTGCATGCATGTATGGGGCCATACGCGGCCATACGCGGCCCGACAACGAAAAAACCTCAGTCTGGATAACACCCAAATGTCGTGTGTTCTGCGTCGTCGTATCGGCATCGGCATATTGTTTGAAGGACGGGACCCACACGGACATTCTATGCTGACTACCAACGACAACGGGAGACTAAACATACGACGCACGAATATGGTCGGGGCTTGGCGGCAAATTTTCACAGAAGCTGGAGGATTGGTCCTTGATAGAAACGTGGAACGACCCCTTCTTAATACCCACGTGCCGGTCCCCCCGGGGGACCAAAGACGCTTGGACCTCATCGTCCCGGGGCTGTTGAACATGGCCTCCCGCTCTTTTGCGACATTACCGTCATCTCCGCAATCAGCGGCAATGGGAATCCCAGACCAGGGACAAGCAACCGAGGTGGGGGACTATTGGAAAGGGCTCAGCATGATAATGGTGCAACGCACCGCGAAGTCATATCAACAGGCCTGGGCTCTCTACAATGCCTTGGGGTGGAATATGGCAGATGGGGGAAACAATCCATTGCTCTTGTGCCGACTCTTGCCCGGGAACGCTGTCGCGGACTACCGGACGCGATCCGCCAAGGTACCGGGCTGGGCTTACACCGATGGTGGGGTTTATTGAGAATTCATTGCAGCGTTCTGTGGCAAACCAGATACTCCAAACGTACAGCGACCTCCGAACCACCCAATGTGAGCCCGCCTGCCCGCTGGACGAGATTGCAGTAGTCTAGTCCCGCGGCAGACCCCCTCCTCCTCCTGCTCTTCCTCCTTCTTCCTCCTCTCTCCTCTTCCTGGGCTGCTTTGCTGAGCCGCCGCCCTGTCGAAGACGACACTTTTCGGCTTCGAGCCCCCAGCTGCTTCGCGCCACTCCGGCGCCCACTTTTTAGGCAGTAGCCGTGTTCGTTGTTGTTGAAAGAGGGAGGAGAAAAAAAAAGGACTCCAATGTGTCCCCCATCAGCCCCGTAGTTTCAAGAAGGCCTCCGATGCTCTACGACAATCGCCAAGATGTCTTAACGCTCTCCTCCCTCTCCCCTCCTTGCACGCTCTGTTTCATTTAATGTGTCTCCTTGGTTGCTCGCTTTGTTTCCCTAAATATGTCTCTTCGTCCCTATTCCCGTCAGGTCTCACGAGCAAGGCTTCTGAATGGGCTGGTGGGGATACGCGAAGCGCGAATAATCACTTGCACAGATGGGTCGCGCAAGCGCCTCGTTCGTTATAGCTCGGCTGTGCGGCGCTGCGGCTTCCAAAGCAACATATTAGGTGAGCTGGTCCGTTTCCCTACCAGAGCTCGTAGCCCGATGCCCGCACCACGGACACCGTGGGACAACGGGAGATTGGAATGCGCCATTTGGCCAAGAAATGGTGCGTCGATTAAGGTTGGCAATAACGACCAATATAACATGAATGACGGCGTTGTTCTCCAAACCCTTCGTCCGCCAGACAATTTACACCAGGCGAATGGCAATATGTATGGGTGGCAGTATCACGCGTCCAACGCGGTTGAAATCGCATCGCTTGTTGATTTGATGATTGCCCTAGCAGCCCGAGAAAACGTTGCACTGCCACGACGGTCGGCAACATCGCCACGAGCATATTTAGAGCCATTTTCGGCTGCATGTCTAACAATTTACCCAGACGGAACTGACCATATGATGATCGGTGTTGGGAAAAGCCACACAAGGTAAACCACGCGCCGCGCTTTGCAAACTTGGTTGGTTGTGGGCCGGGCTTCTACAAGTGCGGCGGGATGCGCATGTATTTCAAGTTTGTGCAGGTTCTGTACCAAAGAAAGCGTGGCTGCAACAAACAATTGCTAAACTCACATTTGACATTTACTGTAAGGGTTATATATTCTAAACGCTTCGCATATCCCCACCAGCCCGTCCAGAAATGAGCCCCAAGGGAGTGGATGTGATGAGGGAAGCGGGGAAGCATGCAGAAGAACAGAGGGCGGGGTAAGCCGCCATATACCCTAAGAGGGTGAGGATGTAGTCGTCGTCGTCGTCGTCGTCGTCGTCGTCGTCGTCGTCGTCGGAGAAGGAGGAGGAAGAGCAGGAGGAGGAGCAGGAGGAGGGGAGGAGGAGGACGAGGAAGATGAGGAGGAGATGGAGGAGGGCGAGGACGTGGAGGATGAGAAGGAGGAGAAGGAGGAGGAGGAGGAGGAGGAGGAGGACGAGGAGGAGAGGGAGGGGGAGGAGGAAGAAAAAGATGAGGAGGAGGAGAAGGAGGACAATGGCGAGCTTGGCCTCTTGGGCCGTCTTTGGGGCCTCTTGGCGGACCTGGGGGCCTCTTGCGTATCTCGGGGGGCTTCTTGGGGCCTCTTGGTGGTCTCTTGGGAGCCTCTTGGAGGCCTCTTGGGCGCCTCTTGGAGCCTCTTAGGGCCTCTTGGGGCGCTCTTGGGAGCCTTCGGAGCGCTCTTGGGGCCATGTTGGAATCAAAGAATGGGGGGGGTGGGAATTAGCGTTGCCCCTCTAAAGTGCCTCGTGGGCCCCAACAGAAGCCAACATCCTTCCAACACCTAGGGGAATTAATGTTTTTTTGCTTTTCCGCCTTTTCGCTCTTGGAGCCGTCTTGGACGCCCCAACGACACGCGGACCCACCCGTCCAAGTCCAGGGGAGGGGGTAGGGGGAGAAGGGGGGTGGAAGAGGAAACTCTCTAGACCACCGACGCCCAGAAAGCTGGTGGGATTTTTGCGCCGTACCACGGCTCAACCATTTGCTGCGCACGACGCCCCTGGGCAAGATACAACCGAGCACGGCGACCTTCGACTATTATTCCTTGATGTGTTCAAATGCATGTTTGGATCGTCGTCGGAAACAACAAGAGGCGCAGGTGGTCTAACCATATCTTTCTTCCCTCTTCCAAAACACCCTCTTCCCCTGCCCCCTCCCCTGGACCTGGACATGGGGGGCCGCGAGGTGGCAGAGGGCCCCCTTCCTGTCAAGGTGACTGCAGGATGGTCTCCGAAAGCCTACTCCAAGATCACTCAAGATAGCCCAACATGGCTCAATAACACTAACTAGCAACATGCCTGCAAGAGGCACAAAAGGGCCACAAGACGGTTCCAGGTGCTCTCCTTCGCGCCCATCTCGAGAAGCCAAAATCCTTCAAAACCTAAAACACGTAAATGATTTTTGCCGTCTCGCCTTTCCGCTTCCGATGCGCTCTTGGGGCCCCAACATGGCCCCCAAATGGCCCAAAACAGCTCCAAGATGGGGTCCAAGAGGCCCCCAAGACGGCCCCCAGAGCGCCCAAGATCGCCCCAGAAGCGCCCCAAGACGGCCCCAAGAGGTGATTTTGATGGCCCCGCAGGGGGAGGCAAATCGAGGACCCCCCCTCCTTTGATCGATGGTCTCTAGGACGGCCCCTAAGAGGCGCTCCATAGCTCCCAAGAGGGCCCCAACAGAACGCAAGCGAGCCCACAAAAAAACCTGAGAGGGCCCCATACGGGCCCAAAGACGCCCCAAAAGAGCCCCAAGAGGACCCTCAAAAGAGTCCTAAGATGGCTCCAATGTGCAACAAAAGACCTTCAAGAGGACTCCAATATCCCCCCAACAGCCCCGTAGCTTCAAGAAAGCCTCCGGTGATCCACGACAGTCTCCAAGATGTGGAGATGTTGATGTTGATGTTGATGTTGATGGTGACGATGACGATGATGATGATTCTTATTATTATTATGATGATGTTGATGTTGATGTTGATGTTGATGTTGATGTTGATGTTGATGACGATGATGATGATGATGATGATGATGATGATGCTGATGTTGAGGTTGCTATTGATGATGATTATGATGATGATGATGATGATGATGATGATGATGATGGTGGTGGTGATAAGTCTGAGGAGTTGACGCCTTTCGGGCAACGTCTGGGAAGGAGAGGCAAGGGGAATGCAAAGAAGGAGGGGGAGTAAGAGGAGCAGGAGGGTGAGGAGAAGGAGGGCGCTCGCGCCCAGCGGCGCGCCCGAGGCCTCACGCCCTTTTCTGGCGCCGCCCGCTTCCGCCGCTCCAGCCCGAGTCCCAAAACCGCACGGTGACCCCGAGCCCCCACGCCAGGACGAATCAAGATCTGATACAACTCTAAAGCGAGCTGAGGGACGTAAGGAGTGGAAGCGAGCGTGCGCCCGCGGCCGCGTCGGCTCAAGCGGCCGGCCGCCCAAATATGACTGCGCCTCACTGCGAGGCACACAATCGCTATCGAGACTAAAAGGATCTTCCTATTGCTTGAGATGGCATCTCCTCTCATACTGGGACTATCGTTACTACGGTACACCGTTTGGGGTCCTCCGACGGCGGGCCGTCGTCCGCATCCGCCGCCGGAGCCCGGGCGGGCCGCGAGCCACCGCTTGGCTGCAGCGTGGGCCACCGGCACCGCGTCCGCCCATGCGCCCTCCAGGACGTTCTCGTGCACCGCGTCCGCGCCAGAGCAGGCGTCCTCTGCACTCCCAGAACCAGGGCAACCTCACAGAGCGGATGAACACGTAATCCTCCTGCACTCGGGGGCGGCGATGGGGGCGAATGGCCCAGGGGCGGGCATTACACGTATTAGCCCGGGAGCCTTTTCGAAGACACACATCATCGGCGCACCTGAATACATGTATTGCTCTCCCCTGGGCTATTCGCCCTAGCGTCGCCTCTGGTGTGCACACGCCCGCGCATCATTCAACAGCGGCACAAATCGAGGGCGCGCGGGCGCGGGGCGCACGGGCGCGCAGGCGCGCGGCCGCGAAGTCGCGCGGGCGGACGGCCTGGCAGCGTGCGGGCACACACCGGCGCGCAGGGCGCGCGATGGCACGCCGCGGCGCGCGGGGCGGCGGCGCGCGAGCGCGCGGGCGCGCGGGTGCACGGGCAGGCACGCTCACGGGCGTAGGCACACGCAAGCGGGGCGGCACGAGGGCGCAAGCGCAACCTCGCGGGCAGAATCCTCGCAACCGTGCGCGGACAGTGCGTGGACAGTGCACGGCCCTCGGCGCACGTGGGCGCTGGGCCGAGCAGCGAGCTTGCGGGGCCTCTGCGACGCCGTCGTGCGGGCTTGCAATGCCTGCGTGGGAGTTGCCTGCGAGCTGCGCGCGAGCCTGGGAAGCGCTGCCTAAGCGCTTGCGACATCCTGCCCAGGAGCTGCCTGCGAGCCTAGGAATCACTGCCCATGAGCTTGCGACAACCTGCCCAGGGGCTGCCTTGGAGCCGCGCGAGACCTCAGGAACCGATCGCTGCCTAGGAGCTGCGCAAACGCTTCCAGCGCACGTGCTGGGAGTGGCTAGGAAAAAACTTGCGGAACACGCTGCGGGCTCACGCAACTTTCTCCAACACTTTCTGACAGCCAGCCGTGGGAGTGGAGGTGGTCAGTCCAGCCGGCCGGCTTCTACTCAAAAACCTCAGTGGCCCTCAGCGAACTATCTAAGAATTAACCAGACCCGTGCCACCGAAGCGGCGGGCGGCTCAGCAACAGCAGCAGCAGCAGCAGCAGCAGCAGCAGCAGCAGCAGCAGCTGCGCTATCGGCCGCATCAGCCGCGGGCAGCTCAGGCCTCTCCCTGTACGCGGAGTGCGCGGTGGAGAGAGAGGGTCGAGCGTGCCACGGCGACAAAGGTGAGCCTTGGCGCCTGGGCCAGTACGGCGTCGCGCACGACCCCCTCCCCTCCACAAAGGAGGCCGCCATCGCGGGCGCAGCCAGCGTCCAAGCCCCTCTCGCTCCCGCCAAGCACGCTGGCGCCAGGAGACGTGGAGGCGCCCGAGCCAAGATGACGGTGATGACGATGATGGTCGTGGTGATGATCATTCTGTTTCTACGGTTATGAGATAACTTATGATGATGATAGTAACGATGTGAACCGTGAAGACGACAATGATTACTTCGGTTGTGCTTCTGGCGAAGCTGGGTGGTCGCAGGGGCGGTTGCGAGACTCATGCTTGGGGGGCACAGCTGGCCTCTCAGTTCGCCGTCACCAGCACAGTCGCGCCGCTGTTCGACGGTTGCTCCCTGTGCCTCGTGCGCTTCATCATCCTGGTAACATGCTGATTTGCTTCCAGGATCTCCTCCATCATGTCGGTGGCGCGCCTAGCCTGCGCGAGGGCGCCCTTCGGCGTCGCCGCCGAGCCGCCGTCCTTGTTCAAGGCCTGCTCAGACTGGTCCACGTCCGCCAGCAGTGCCTTGCAATCAGCAGGAGGAGGCGCAACAGTCTTCTCAGCGAAAACAACCAGGCAAAGCAGATCGAGAAATCAGCTGTCTCTCAGGCGAGCTATTCCAATCGCACGATTCATCGACCAACGGACACAACGAGCCATGCGTGCTACGTATCGTAGAAAATACGCGATGGGAAACGCTCAGTGGCATCTACTTGGTCGCAGCTAGAACCAGAAGGGGGGGAGGAGGAGGAGGAGGACGAGGAGGAAGATGCGAACGGGCTTGGTATTAGGGAAAAAGGGCCGTGGGGGAAAGCAGTCCTGTAACCAAGGGCTTCCGAAGGACTGGTTCTTTATCCTGTTGGGTCATCGTCAGATCTGCTCCGAGGCCCAGGAACGGCCCTGTGGGCACGAACGCGGCGAAGAAACTCCAGGACTCATTGATTTTCATGCGGAAGAGCCGGGGTCGGAGGAGGACCACCGTAAACCCAAGACGTACCAACGATTCTGCAATACACCCTGCCGTCCCACGTCCCCTCCGCATGAGTCCTTGCATGTCTTACGTGCCAGTGCCATGTTTGCAAACTTGGGACATCAACAGTGCGTTATGACATCCTGGCTGTGTAACATCTGTGGTGCAATCTCTATGGTGCAATCTCGATGGTGCAATCTACCACGCGCCATCCATGAGTTCAGAACCACGTAGTGCAACACGCGCGGTTCTAGCTATGCAGTACAAGCCTTGTAATGCAGATCTTGTGGTGCAAACTGAGTTGTGCAAGGTATGGGGTGCAATGTATATACAGATGTGTGCATGGTGAAGGCTGTGTGGTGAAAGTGGCCACGTTGCACCGCGCGTGAACTCCTCCCACGCTCGTGCAAACATCCCGCCCTCCCGCCCGCATCTTGGTCGGAAAAACTCATAAGGTCGCGACTGCAGCTACAACGTGGAACTCGTCCGCAAATTTCATCGAGTTCGCTGGCACGCGGACCCTCGTGGCGCGGGCAAAGTCCATCTTGCGGGAGACAGCGCGGACGCCGGCGTCGATAAAAGACGATGAGGTAGTTGGCAAAACGCAGAAGGTCGTGTCTATAGTTGCAGCGTGGAGGTCCTCCGATCATTTCATCGTGTTCGTTGGCGCTTCCGGCGGCAATGATGACGATGACGGTGCCCCGCATGCTAGTATGTGACAGGGGCCATGCCTCTGGCAAGCGGGCGAGGGCATTGGAACGAGTTCGGCATGCGCGCGCGAAGGCCTCCTTGGACAAGGACGTTGACCAAAACACGTTTGGTTTCCGAAGAATCCGCAAGAGCTCCCGGGATGAAATGTTGAAACCTTTTGTTGAAAAGCCATTGGGTTTGGATATTTTTGCTGAAATCGCCACAACACCAAAAAACATTGAAAGATTTCAGCTTGCGCGCGCGGATGTGGTCCGCATGGCATTATGTCGTAAGGATTCGCGCATTCAGCTAATTTTAGATCAACGCATGTGCACCGCAGGGTGTTATTTGACAGGGCGGAGGGGGGGGTCGATACCGGGACTAGCTGGGATGGCATGAACTCATATGGCACATGAACCATGGGCAGACTCACGTGTAAATTCCAATGCCCCAGGTGGGGTGGTAATCCCGCGGGTGTGGTGGGGTAGAACTAATTTCTTTCAGCAGAGGAAAACCTATGTGGTGCACCCTGTGTGGTGCAAGCTCTGCGTTGCAATCTACGTGGTGCAATCTAAGTGATGCAATCCATGTGGTGCAACTCACTTGCCGAACTTGATGTTGTCAACTCCACTGTTCGCGCAATCGTCCCACCCGCCCAACCGCAACTTGGTTTGCAAAACCCATGCGGGAGAGACTGCGATGAATGCTGGGTGTTGGCTGGAACATATCTGCGTCCGCGCTAGACCGCGCATGTTCGCGCGCGCAACGGCCAGCTAGTTTGGCGCGACCGGCGCGAACGCGGTGGCGCTGACCGCTCGGCACATCCCAGCGGGCACTTGAACGCGAGTTGGCGGCTTGGGCGGGCGCGGTATCATGGCAACGTCGACGACTGTAGACACGATGGTGATAATAGCGATGCTGGCGACGATGCTGACAGCGGCGACGGGGCAGCCAATGACGGCGTCGATGCTCGGCGTCGACGCAGCCAATCACGCCGGCGACGATGACGGCGCATTCGCGTCGGTGATGAAGGTTTTGGAAGGGATTCGAAATTCGCGCACGGCTGACGCGCGAGACTGGCTCGCGTGGTATTATTTGACACGGATCGTGCCACCCCAGCGCGCGCGCAAGGGCGTTCGAACGATTTCGACATGTGCGCGCGCGAAGCCCGATTGATAGCATGTTAGGATAGTGATGAAAATCTGATGATTTCCTTCAGGATTCGCAAGAGCGCGCGCGCTCGCTTTTGTTGAAAATCCGCGTTGCGAAGCCATTTTTTTTTTTTTTTTTTTTACAAAAAAATACTGTTTTGACACTCGATTTTGAAATCCTTCCGGAACTAAAGGTATTTGACGGGTTTCGGCATGCGCGCGCGACGACGCACGCGTGTACTTCGTCTGCATTTTTCCCCCCGAACCATCCTGTGGTGTTGGGTCCTAGTTTTGAAGGGACAGCGCCCCTCGTCCTCCCTCCTCCTCCCCCCCTCTCCCTCCTCCTCTCGCCCGTCATCATCACCATCATCGTCATCATCATCGCCGCCATTAACACAATCACCCCTCACACGTTTCGTGGCCCCATAAGGAGCTCCACCGAAGGCCCCAGTGCTGCCGTCCGCATGCGTCCCGCACACCCAATTCGGCACACCCCTCACACGCTTCGTGGCCCCATAAGGAGCTCCACCGAAGGCCCCAGTGCTGCCGTCCGCATGCGTCCCGCACACCCAATTCGGCACACCCCTCACACGCTTCGTGGCCCCATAGGGAGCTGCACCGAAGGCCCCAATGCCGTCGCCCGCATGCGTCCCGCACACCCAATTCGGCACACCCCTCACACGTTTCGTGGCCCCATAGGGCGCTCCACCGAAGGCCCCAGTGCCACCGCCCGCATGCGTCCCGCACACCCAATTCGGTACACCCCTCACACGTTTCGTGGCCCCATAGGGCGCTCCACCGAAAGCCCCACCCTTCACACGCTTCGTGGCCCCATAGGGAGCTGCACCGAAGGCCCCAGTGCCGCCGCCCGCATGCGTCCCGCACACCCACATCGGCACACTCCTCACACGTTTCGTGGCCCCATAGGGAGCTCCACCGAAGGCCCCAATGCCGCCGCCCGCATGCGTCCCGCATACCCAATTCGACCACCGAAGGCCCCAGTGCCGCCGCTCGCATGCGTCCCGCACACCCAATTCGGCACACCCCTCACACGCTTCGTGGCCCCATAGGGAGCTGCACCGAAGGCCCCAATGCCGTCGCCCGCATGCGTCCCGCACACCCAATCCGGCACACCCCTCACACGTTTCGTGGCCTCATAAGGGAGCTGTGCCCGACAGCTTCCCTCAGGCCGATTTCTTCGTCGTCGTCGCCGTCCGTCGTCGACGTCCGACCTGCGCGTAGCGCGGCGCCCGCGGCCTTGACCTTTGGAGTGGGCGGGCGAAGAGGAAGGAAAGAAGGGGATGAAGCGGGCGCGATCCTCGTGCGGGGCGCGCCGACGTGGGCGTCGCGGCGCGCGGGCGCTGCCGTCGGGGTTCCCGGGAAAACTCCTTGCGGAGGCTACGCTCAATGTCGCGAGTTCTCAGAGTTAGGTAAGCCCAAACCATTCACAGCCGTATGCATTTACATTCGGAAACTCCATGCTCGCAGTCACGCAACTAGAATCAATTGCGCGCATATCCATTCAGAATCAGACTCACCCGCGCTTAGACTCGCCCGCGCTCAAGCTTTCATATTCAGACCTATCGTTTTTTCGGTCGTGTTGTGTACCCTATCACACAATTCGGCACACCCCTCGTGCGGTTCGCGACCCCATAGGGAGCGCCACCGAAGAATATATTCACAAGTGCGGTATTCACAACTGCGTATGGTTGGGTCCTTCGCCAAACGACTTTTTTGCAAGAGAGTCTTGAAAGTTTCTGATTGCTGTTGAACGAATGTGCGCGCATAGTAACTTTTGCCAGGGGCCCGAAGGGGGAACGATACCGGCCTAGCTGGAACAGTATGAATTCACTGGTAGCATGGACATTGGGTCAGAACCAAATGCGTTTTGCATAGGTTCCCGTGGAAGCGATAAGTCCGGGGGCGGGGTGGGGGTGGCAGAAACAATTCCTTTTTACGAGAGGAGAATCTGGTGTTGAAAGCTATGCTGTGGAGTGACGCTTCGGCGGGCCCAGCCAGCGCACGTGGCGCCCAAACCTCGGCGGGCCCGGTCAGCGCGCAAGGTGCCAGCGAGGCGCCCGCGGGCGTCCGCCAGGCGAAACCCCCGCGGGCCCAGCCAGCACGCGAGGCACCCACAAGGCGCTCTGGTGCTCCAGCCAGTCGAAACCTCGGCGGGCCCAGCCAGCGCACGGCCCGCGCACGAGGGCCCACAGGCGCCCACCAGGCGAAACTTCAATGGACCCAGCCAGCGCACGAGGCACCCACGAGGCGGTCGCGGGCGCCCGCCAGGAAAAACCACGGCGGACTCACCGAATTACTCATCAAGACAGGCAAGAACTCCCAAGTACAACCGCTGATTCAGGCGAGGGCACCTTTTTCACATGGATCTGTTTTGCATCTGTCTCGCCAAACAGAAGATCCTTGACTTCAACATTGTGCTGCGATGGCCCGTTTTGAAAGGGAACTCACCTCTCACCGGCATAACTGTTGCGCAAGTTTTCGTTTGTGGTCGTTCATATGGAGGAACTCAAAGGCGCGAGCTCGATCATGACCAGCGTGAGCCCCTGAGCAGTGTGTATGTGTATGTGTGTGTGTTCCAACACCATGTGTTGTTCAACATATGTGGTGGAACCAGTGCGGTGCAATTAGTTGCTGTTCGAAGTGGGTTTTCCACTTCAGTGCTCGCGCAAACATCCCACCCGCATAACCGCAAC